TTGGAGTACCACTGATAGAAATAAAGAAGTTAAGAAAGTTATTTGGTTTTAGATTGAAGACTGTTAATTCAGATTTGAATATATTGAGTATAGCATGTGACAGGAAGGTCTCCCAGCAGAAATAATAAATTTTAATAGTTATTCCATGTTTAAGAATATTAATTCTCATTAACTATGATGCACATACTTATGCATGACTCAGAAATCAAGAAATTATAAGAGGAAATGTCAAGAGATTTGTCTCAAAATCACATAACATCTTTAATTTATAGCTTTATTCAATAGCAGTTCTGATCCTCATTTAGTTCAGGAAGTAGGTAGGGTAGAAATCTTAAAGTTACTTACATAGTCACATAGTCAACTTAAATTAGGTAGCCTATTAGAATTTGCGGCACGCAGAGGAAAAGATAAATATGACTTCTGTTTCAGATTCCTACTTAGACAGCTGCAATAGGGAGCTAAGGAGCAGCTTTGTTCATACTCAGGAGCCAGAGCTTGAGAAACAAAGAAGAAAAGATGAACTTTGGATATACCTTAATATATTCTAGGCTTTTCCTCTCAATGAGCTGGGAGAGTGGAATTTCTCTTGAGTATCCCCCTCAGTATCAACAAACCAGCCTTTTACTGTCCCATTCCAGGTGTCTAGATAGAGATCTAGGTTAGATATAATATTGGTCCTCCTCTTTCCCTGAAATCAGTACTATTTGTATTCTAACCTCCACTTGAACTATTGAGCCACTCGGGACATATGCAAGACAATTATTCCTTCTGTGTTGGAAATAAGCATTACACTAAATTGTGCCACCTTTGTGAATTCATTCCTCATGTTGGAAACCTGGTCATCATAGTAGACATCTGCTGTTTTTTAGCCAGGAGTTTCAATACTCACTGGCCAGAGAGATCACTACGCAAATTCCAAAATAACCTTTAAAATGTGTGAATTTTCAGATTAAAATTGGCATGACTACAAAAAAGTTTACATGTGTTTTTGGCTCTGTGCCTGGAGGAATTCTTTCATCAAATGACATATTAGAAGCAGTGGACATTTTTCTACTATTAATCTGGGAAAGAATGGGATAGATTCATTCTCACTGCAAGAATCAATTATCTTTAACAATTATCTTTGTATAGAAAAAGCGGTCTGTTATAAGCAATCAATTTGTCTTTCATTCTAGTTTGTCATCTTCTTTCTCTTTCCTTCTCTCTTCCTTTTCCTCACTCTGAAACATCTGCCCACACTTTACTTAAATAATGGCTATCTAGTGTGACACACAACATTGCCAATTTATATCCTGGAGGTCAGAGATAGTAGTGCCTCTTGGGAAGAAAAGTAAAAGGCAACATATTGTAGTGGAAAGAGCATTGGACTTGACATAAGGAAATTTGGATTCTAGTCCTGGTCTTGTCACATCACTTAATCTTTTTGAGCCTAGGTTTCCCAATCTATATTAAAAAATGGAAGGAAGATTAGATGATCTCTCAATTACTTCCACTTCAAAAATTCTGTGATATAATATATAGGTGTAAAATGATGGCGAAATGTCATTTTATAAGACAAATGGTCAATGTAGTAGATAAAATATCTGCTTGTCCATAATACAACTGTCTTAGCCATTAACTACTTGTGTAACATTGGACAAATTTTACCTTTGTCACCTCATTAAACCTCAGTTTTCTTTTCTTTAAAATGAAGATATTTTCTCTGCCTAACTTATAGGATTACTATGAGGTTTGAATAATATAACACATATGAAAACATTTTATAAATTGTAAAGCTCTAAATAAGTGCTTCAATCAATCACTCAAAAACATGTTAAGCACCAACTGTATACCAGGCACTGCGCTAAACTCTGGGAATACAAAAAAAAAAGACAAAAGACTGTCCCTGTCCTCAAGGAGTATACAATGTAATGGGGAAGACACATTCAAACAGAAATATATAAACTTAACTATATACAGGATAAATAAGAAGTACAGAGGGAAATCATTAGATTTAAGACAGCTTAGGAAAGGCTTTCTACAAAATATGGGATTTTGGTTTGGATTTAAAGGAAGCCAGGGAAGTAAGTAGTCAGAATTGAGAAGGAATTCCAGGCATGGGAGACAGTAAGAGAAAATGTCCAGAGCCAAGAAATGGAGTGTCTTGATCACTGAATTTAAAAGAAGCTAGTGTCACTTGATCAAAGAGTACATGGAGGGGAGTAAGGTATAAGTAGTCTGAAAAGGTAGGAGAGAGCTAGATTATGAAGGGCTTTCAATGCAAAGTAGATGATTTTGTATTTGATCTTGGAAGTGCTAGGGAGCCACTGGAGTTTACTGAATAGGGAGGGGTGTGACATGGTCATCTGCATTTTAGGAAAATCACTTTGGTGACTGAATGGAGGCTGTATTGGAATGGGGAGAGACTTCAGGCAGGCTGATATACCAACAGGCTATTGCAATGGTATAGGCATGAGATGATGACAGCCTGCACCAGAGTGGTGGCAATGACACAGGAGAGAAGGGGGTATTTTTGAGAGATGTTATAAAGGTAAAATTGACTATCATTGGCAACAGATTAGATACATGATTATTAATTTGTTATAGGCTTATTAGGATGGCAATTCATAAAATCCAAAGAAAAAGGAAACAATATTGAAGTAAAAATAAAACCCCACACTCCATAATGGACTCTGTTCTGTTTTTATCTAATAAAGAAAAAAAAATTTCAGCTTCAGCAATGTGTTATGTTTTGAATTAAGGTCCTTGGAGAATAGGCATTTAAATGGTTTATGAAACTTAAGCAATTAATTTGTTCTGAAGAACTGAACCTCAGATAAATTTCTGCATGGTATATATGTATATATGTAATATATATACATATGTATGTGTAGATATCTGTGTGCAAATACACATACATACATATATAGTGGGATATATAAATGGCACTTGTTGAATAGGAATAGAAAAACAGAATTATCTAGAAAAACTCTAGCCAAAAGTTTATTACTTAAGGGAGGTATTCAGTTAAAACTAATCAGATAATCTATTATGAAATAGAACATATCAGAAATATATGTGTATGTATATATATATATGTACATACAAAAAACCCTAGAAATTTAAGGAATTGAATGTTGTCAATCAATGAGAATTTATTGTATACTGTGGTAATCAAAGCTATTTGCAGGAGAGGGAGAAGTACAAGAAAGAGAAGACACATTTACCTCCTTCAACTATATTATGAAATACAACTTTTGAAACTCTCTAAAACAATGGAAAACTTGAGCCTTTACTGAATATTTGATGAAGGAAACAGACACACATACAAACACTTGGAATAAAAGGTATGAATTTATTCACAAATAATTTCATATCATGAAGAAAAGCACAGGGTGGGAAATTGTTTTAAGGTAGTGCTTTTTCCTCTATGATATATATATATATATATAATATGTGTGTGTGTGTGTGTATATGTGTGTGTAAGTATATGTATGTGTAAATGTATATATGCATATATGTATAAAATTGTTGCAGTTCTGACATTGAATATTATATCTATTCTTTATTAACTCTTTATTTCTTTAGTAACTCTTTATTTCTGAAGCCATGATCCAATCAACTATGCCATTTCTCTGAGAAGGCCTGTGTCAGTCTACTTATTGTGGCCTTGCTTCCTATCCCAATAATGTTTGGGACCAAAGTGCTCCTCCTTCTCCACCATTCCCTTTTGCATATTATATAACCTGTACATTATAATCACTATTAAATTCCTCGAGGCCATGGATCTAGTAAGCTCTTTTGACGTCAGGACTTTTTCTGCTTTTTTGATTTGCACAATGTTTGGCACATAGTAAGCGTTTAACAAGTGTTTTTGAATGAATTCTTTGGTCCTATAAAGGTAAAGAGGATTTACTTGGTTATTTGAATAAAACCTCTGCTCCCTCTCAAATACTTCTCCCCATATTCCATTCCCAAAGGAGAAAATAAATAGGAATCTCTTTTCATTTTTCTCACTGTTGATATTGCTCTTGTCACCAGTCTGCATAACCATCCAAGATATTTAGGGGTTAGCTTGATACCTTCTTGAGGCATAGGGTCCATTATAGTCCAGTAAGTGTTCTGGAGAAACCTGAAGATGAATCTTTCCTTGGTTTCTACCCTGAAAGCATGATTTTTGCTATAAATAGGAGCATTTAATCTAGGATGGTCTCCCTCCTTCAAATCTCTCCCTGATCTAATCTGTTCTCCATTTGTATTTCAAAGTGTATTTTTTTTCTAATTTCCTGACTACATTACTTCTTTATTCAATCAATGCCAGTAATTCTTGCTTCCTCCAGGATCAAATAGAAAATCCTGCGTTTTTAAAAGCCATATATAACCTGGTTCCTTCCTAACTTTCCAATCATCTTATATCTTACTTGCATCTACATACTCTGTGACTTAGAACCATTGGCTTCCTTGATGTTCTTCACGTAAGACAATCTATCTCTTGAGTATGTATTTTTACCAGCTATCCTTTATACTTGGAATTCTCTTTGTCTTAGACTCTGCTTCATGGCTTTACTGGCTTCCTTCAAGTTGCAGATAAAATTCCACCTGCAAAAAATCTTTCTTAATGCTTCTTAATGGTAGTATATTTCTTTTTTAAAAATAATTTATTTATTTACTTATTTTTAGTTTTCAACATTCATTTCCATTATATTTCTTGACAATGAGGTTGTTCCAGCATACCATGCTGTCTTTTTCCTGGTAAGGAATAGATACTTGATATTTATTGGATTGGATGGCTCCTCATAAAAATGTTACATAAGACAAGAAAAACATATATATCATCAACACATTTGATATAAATGAAGAAAGTATTCCTAGAAGGTAACAGTCTTGACATCAAGACTTTTTCCAATATACCTAAACAAAGATTGTAAGTCATTTGCACAACATTTTTAAAAGATATACTCATATCAATAAATATTTAATGCACAGCACCATAGAGTGTACTATACACAGTTTACACTTACCTGGGCAAAGAGCAATATTACAAGGTTTATGATGAGTTTCAGGTCCCTCACATGGTCTTCCCCCATACTGGGGAGGTATACATGATCGTGTCCTAGTTCTTTGGCCTCGACCACATGTAAATGAACACAAACTCCAGGGTGACCACTCCTCCCAAACTCCATGTACTGTAATAAAGTAAAAATAATTTAACAACAAAAGAAGCCAATAAAGAAAGTCAAATCAGAAAAAAGGTAAGAAACCTAAAAAATTAATCTATTTCCCTGAAACAATATTATCAACCTTCTTAATCGCAAGAAAATATGAAAAAAATAATTTGAAAATATATTGAGTTTCTTGGAAAGTTTATGTTTTCTTTATATTTGAGTATGCTGAATTTCAAGCTATAGTGTTATTTGTGGGTTATATGTATAGAGATGCACTTTTTTTCACTAGGAAGCTTTTTAGTGAACTTATTTCTGTTCTAAGATAATTATAACAACAAATCTAGCAATATAATGATAATTTTTTTTTACTAATCTAATCATAGTAAGTTAAACTACTTTTCATTTATGATCCTACATTAAGAGCCTTAATGGTCTTCTGAGGTCATTTATTCCAGCCCTTCTTACTCATACTGTGGAAACTAAGAACCAGAGAGGTTAAGACACTTGTCCAAAGGTCACACACAAATAGCACTACACTATATACAACCAAAGTGCTAAGTAACATCCTTAAAAGTTTTGACATACATTTTAAAAGAGATGAACAGGAATCAGAACTTTGGAAGAACTAGCTTTACATTATTTTCTTGTTTAATTTTTTTCTTTGAAAATAAATTAAATCAATGTTTTAATGTATAAAAACTAAGATAACTTTTATGAGGAGTATTTTAAATATTGCAGGTACAAAACTTTATTGAGCTTCTTAAACTTTCTTCTCACCAAAAATTTCCACTACTATTAACATCAAATATTTTTCCTATAGCTCTTAATTTTGGATTGTTTCATATCTTATAGTATCAATGTTTAATACAATAAATCATGACTAAAAGAGAATGGTTGCTTTAAGACTGTGCTTAAATTATTACCAATAATAATTTATTTTCACTTTTTAATCCCCTTACTAAATAGCCCAACAGTATATCAAAAGTAGCTACTTAAAAAAGAAAAACTTTTTTCTCTCAATAAAAAAGAGAAAGAAATCAGCAGGAAGAGGATAAAGGAATATCTGACAATTTCCTGCTTGAACATGGCTTCAAAAAATTACATTACTAGAAATTCAAAACTCCATCAAACAAGCAGTGAAAGCAGCACCTCTCCATGTTGTTTATTGAAAAAGAAATAATTCCTCCTTAGGCAGGTCACTTAACCCTATTGCTTAGCAAAAAATAATCCTATCATACAGGTCATCAGCAAAAGTTATCTTACTTTCCTCTCAAAGTGGGAACAGAAAATAACAGCACTTAGATAATAAAAATAGGCAAACACAGCCAAATTATACAATACACTAAGACCCCTACCTTGATATTGCAAATACTATATTTACCAGACCTTTCGAATGTAAAAAAAAAAGGGGTAGTGGTGTAGGTGATTTGTAAAGACAAAAAAAAAATCTATTTCCTCTTTCTTTAAAACTAGGAAGGATGAGCAGTAACCTGAGGGAGGCTGAGGGTAGCAGGATGGAGGGCAAGGAAAAGTTTAAGAGAGTCATTACAAAGTAATTGCCCAAGTTGCCACTCTAAAGACCACATCTATAAACTCTTCTAATTTGTGTGGATTCTCCATGATTGTAATCATGGAAAAGAGAAATATTTGAAAGGTATTTAAAACTAGTATTCTTCCATAATACAGAAATTGTCATATGTTGGTTTATATATATATATATATATATATGCATATCACACACAATACAAACATACATCTGTGTGTACATACATGCATATATATTATGTGAACACATTTGCATATGTTTTATGTATACATGGTTAATCTAGCCTTAGGTGATTTTATATCAATTGTCATTAAAAACAGGGAGGGCCATATGGCTCAGCATTTAGAAATAACAGATGTCATTTAACATAAGTAACACTTTTTAAAAATAAAAGATGAATTAGGATGCATATTTTAAAATATTTTCTGAATATATTGATATTAAAAATATTTTATTGAGAAATATGTTCTTTCTTCCTCCTCTATAGCCAGCATTTCTCAGTTCTGTTGAAATAGTTGGCTCAAGATTTCTGAGTAGTGTCATTAATTACACTGCTCTGTTATTCAATTTGCTAGTTTATACTTTTCTCTTCTTAAAAATACTTCAGTATTCAAAGCATCCCAGAAAAAGAGGAATTTCCTAAATTAATTCTAAATTGGCAGATTTTCATCTGTTAATCTTTAAAACCTCGGTTAACTTTGATGGCTGATGACTAATTTGTTTTTTGAATATTTTCCATGGTGTGATTTCATGATCCTCCCATAGCACCAAATAAAGTAAATAATATTAACTCTTTTTAATTAGGAATTTTGGATCTAATATTGACTAAAAAATCCTTTTGCTTCTATAGAATTCTGCTAATTTGTTATGAGAATAATGTAGGGCAGGTACTGTGCTACAATTTCAGATATTTTGCTATTCATAAGTGCTCATTGTGAATGGTTTGAGTCTGGAGGAGGAAGAGCAGGGGGAGGAAGAGAAGGAGAAGAAGAAAGAGAAGAAGAAGAAGAAGGAAAGAAGAAGAGAAGAGAAAGAAGGAAGTAAGGAAAGAGAGTGAGAAAGAGAAAAAGAAAGAAAGAAAGAAAAAAGAAAGGAAGGAAAAAAGGAAGGAAGGGAAGAAGGAAGGAAGGAAGGAAGAAAGAAAGAAAAAAGAAAGAAAGAAAGAAAGAAAGGTTCTTTTGCTTCTAAATCTGAAAAGTGGAACATTTAATCAATGCACAGTTAAACAAATGATACTTAGGGGAGTGGTCCTTTTTAGAGTATGATCTATCTATTTTGGCTATAGAAACTGACCAGATTGATCATGTAATTATGAAACACCTTACTTAACTTTTTGCTGTATATAGATGGCTTTAGTCAAGTGAAAAGTAATTACATTATTAGAAGGTTTTGAAGCTGGTATAAATAGTGCAGTATTTTTTTTTAATTCTGTGGTTTCAAATTTTATAAAATAATTTTCAATGATATTTTCTTTACAAAAATGCTTATCTCCTTGAAGGAGAAAATGGAGGATAGAACATAAGCTCCTTTTGATTAGATATTGTTTCAATCTTTGTTCCTAAATCTCCAGCACCTAACACAACACTTGTCACATAAGTGCTTAGTAAATAAATGTTAATTGGTTGCTCAAAAAATATATAAACCAGATATGATGCTGATGGGAGAAAATTAACTATATTTAGCCTATATAAAATTTTTCTTAAAGTGTAATTAAAAATGTGAATGAGTGCCATAAAATTACAAATCAGAAAACAATGACTTCTTAAACTAGTTACATAGTTTTTCACTTTCTTTGCAATAAAATTATTTCTCTGGGTCACTCAAAATTTATAATTTCCCATTTAAGAAGACCAATTTTGAAAAAAAAGAAGTTCGATTTCCTATAATCTTCAAGTGGTTCAGAAGTCTGAGATCATTTTAAAGTAAGGGTCAAAGGACTACAACTAGGGAATGGCACAACCAGAGCTCAAAGTCTTGTGACATAAAGTCCAATGATTTTTCTACTCTGACAGATGGCCCAGGAAGTAAGAATTATATGGTTTAACTAAGGTAATGTGTAAAGTCAAATCTGAAAGTAAAAATGATTCATTTTCCAGCATCCCCCTAGTCAATGCAAATAACCTCTAGTATCACCATTTAATAATGTGAAGCAAGGAATGGTTAACTATGTAGTCTGACTTTGTACAATTTTATGTTACTTCTTTAACTGGCAAACATATTTTGGATAGACACAATTTAACTAATCAGGTAATGGTTTTTAGCTCTTTTATCTCATTGCAAATGTGATATTTAAGTACAGAAAAAAATTATGCCATTTCAGGCAACATTTAAATAGAAGAATTCATTTGGAATTATTACTTTCATTAAAAATTAGCTTGAAAGGAAAGCATACATAATGATTTGGAAAATATCAAAACAAAATAATTAACACATGAAATATTGCATAACAACCATAAAACATTTATGTAAATATGTTAAAACACCACTTGAAAGCATCACCTATGAGAGTATTAAATTATTTATTCTTAATATTGAAATAAGTCCAATTACTCTATTATAAAATGTCATTCAAGATTGAAAAAGCAAAAAAAGTGAAAAATACAAATGTGCTTTTTCATTATCTTCAATTCTATTTTTCTATATTATTATGAAGTAACAATGCTTTCCCCAATATCAGTATCACATATTAAAACTTATAACAATAAATAAAATGGATACATCTGTTTGGGGAAAATGGTCGTCAGCCAATATAAAGGTATATAATTTAAGAAAATGAGTTAAAATTTCTGTTATATTCACTGCTCTTCAGTTTTTTATTACAGTGATGTAATGAAATGAAGGTAAGGATGAATGGAGAATGGAGAAATGTATTCTCAAATCCTCTGACATTTTCTCTTTTGCCTAGATGAAGGACAGAATCACATATCTTTTGGTTGAAATATATAAACATGCACATTTGTAAAACTGGCTGTAAAGAAAAATCTGACCAAGGTGCTTTCCAGTCCAACCTTTATTCCTATTCATAACCAGGCTCCCATTTGAGGATAACAATCTGGTCTCAGCACAAGTTTAAAGAAGGAAACTGATATTCTTTCAAAAATAAACCATGTTCTGCATAACTTTGTTATAAATCCTCTAGCCTTTATTGATTTAATACTATTATTTTTCAAGTTGCTAACTCATAATTTTTTCTTTTCCATAGTAGAAATTAATTTGATTCAACTAATGGATTAGGGTTAAAGTAAGAACCAACTTTAAACACAGGCAGAGTACTTCCTTACTTATAGATTGAGATTAGTTGGGTAGGGGAGGGAAAAAGGACTCTCTGTCCACGGATAACTCCACCACTGTATCTTTAACGCTTTCGATTGTCAATGAAGAGATAGGAACTGAATATGATTTCATTCTCTGTAATACAGAGTCTCAGAGTCTTTCCCATAGCAATGAGATGTCAAATGCTTTGCCTAGAGTCACACAGTCAGTGCAAGAGGTGAGACCTAAAATCAAGTCTTCTGGTTTCAATACTAGCTTCCTAACTACTGTGCCACACTGTTTCATGCTGCCAATGCCTTTAGCATTGAAGGACAATGTTAAAATGCAGCTATCATTGGGAAAGCATCATTATCATTCTTACTTTGTGCCTTATTTCAAATGTGTTTATTGTAATTAGTCAACAATCTACTATGGTCCTGAGAAAATGAAATGCTAAACATGTACATTTTGATGATGAGAGTTGTGTGGGAGATGGGGGAGGTCTAGAATTTGGGATATTATCTGTCATGTATAACACAGTAGAGTATACTAGACAGTGAGACACCAACATGATGGTATTCAATACTTAATCTTATGGGTGTCAAAATGAGGGATTGTACTAAGAAGGCCATTATAGCTTCCACAACTTTGTCTTGGGTCTGTCTTTGACTTACAGTTAACATTTAGTTGGCAAGAAATTCAATGAATTCTTTTTCTTTTTTAAACATGATTTCATTGGTATAGGGAGCTGTCAGTGAGAAATCCCTTCTACTGATACTCATCAGCTGCTAGTCTTCAACTTATATTTTTAGTGAGTCGACTGGGGCACTGAGAAATTAAATGATTTGTCATTAGTCACACAGATAACGTGTCAGAGATAGCACTTGAACATAGATTTTCTTGACTTTGAGGCCAGCTCTCTGTCCAATACATCCTGATGCTTCTCATGAATCCCAAATACAGTTATAAATTATTCTCTGGCAGATTATTGTTTATGTGTACACACACACATAGAAACACACACACATTTGAACTTAAGCCATAAAAGTGAGATTCCATACATATTAACTAAAAATTTGTTGTGTTGTTACAAAGCATATGCTACTAATTGCTCATTTTCAATTTTCTCAGCTTCTCAAATCTTCCCTTTTACTCTCTGGCATTCTGGACCTTCTTTTCTACTATTTTCTCTGCATATTGGTCTGATCTCATTTTCTGTATTCTTTCTAGTGTAATCTAGTCTTCATTTAGTTTTTGTTCTGATTTCTCTTTCCTTTTTTATCTTTCTTCCCTTAATGGTATCACTCTCTTTGTCCTTCACCTGTTCTTTCTCTTCTTTTAAAATTGTATCAGTTTCCTTTTGCCATTTTCTATTTCTATGCTTTTGTATTCTTCCCCTTCTATCCTTTATGCTCTATTTCTTTCCACATTCTACACACTCTGTCAATGCTTTCTTGCACCCTTAGAACTTTTTTAGTCTACGTATATCCCATCTGTATCTAGATAGTCATTTGTGGTCTCTCTCATTAGAATGTGATCTCAAGGACAGGGACTATGTGATTTTTTTTCTGTATCCTCAGTCCTTGGCATAGTGCCTGGCATATAATAAGTGCCTATAGAACTTAATTCTCATTGATTAATCGTCTGACTGATTGGTTTCATTGTTCTTTCCCAACTGCTTCTTACTAATTCTTTCCAAGACCTTCTCTTCATCTTGTCCTCTAATGTCTTATATAATATTTTCTACTTACTGGTGAAGGTATCTTGTTCTACTCAGCTGTGGTTGTTTATGTTTCTACATAGCTTTGCTTCCTACTTGCAAGGTTGGTTCCTAGTATCAGGAGCTCCTCTGCGAACATCCATTCACTTAAGTAACCCTCTGTACTCATTCCTACCTCTCTGCACTCAAAGGAAGAAACCCTCAGAGGACCCAGATGTAAAACCATAGGGGTGTCCCTAGGAAACTTTTAGAACCACAAGCTGTGACAAGCCATGTATTTAGAGGGGTAGCAGGGGAAAATCCATGTTCCTCTGTGGACCCAACCACTTCAGGTTGCCATAAAGCAGTTCTTTATGACATCAATCCTGCTAGATCCTGGATTTATAGTTAGGATCTTTCCAGGTGATCCCACAGAGAATTAAATGCAAACTGGCAGCTACCAATATCAGAGAAGAGAGAAGAAGGGAGGGCAAGAGAAGGGAAGAAAGGAGAGGGAAAGAGGAGGAGGGATGGAGAGAAAAAGAGAAGGGAAAGGGAGTGAAAAGGAAAGAGAGGGGAAGGAAGATGGTAATGGACAGGAAAGGGGAGAGAGAGAGAGGAAAGAAGAGAGAGAGAAGGGGGAGGGAGGGAAGGAAAGAAGGAGAGGAGGAAAGAAAGGAGAAAAGAGAAAGGAAGGAGGGAAATAATTCTGTAGTTGTGTGAGTGTACCAGAAAATGCTGATTTGCAGTGAAATATTTGACACTTGCCTTAAGTAAAAAAGAAATGGTACTCTGTTCCATTTGGATTATATCATTTTCTATTTCGTAAATGACTATATCAAATATCCAAAGCAATGGACAGTTCAAAAAGGGAAGTCATTTCAAATTTTATATTAAACAGAAGTGTAAAATAGAGCCTCCAGCTTACAGACAGTAGCTGAGTATAGAGAACCAAATGCAATCGCTGTACATGTAAGCATGGTCAAAGGAAGAGTTTGAGCTAAATAAAAAAAGCCTCTGAAAATTATTATTATTTTTTTTACTCATAAGGTTATAATAACTTTTGTGGCAATTGTGGAGAGTACATGGCTCCAAAGGCTTATCATTTGTCTTAAATAATGAAAATTTGTTTCATGTTCCCAGCATGTTAATAAATTATGCTTTGTTTCTTCCTAAATCATTCCATAGAATATTTTCCTCATCTTTGATTCCTGAAAAAAATAAAACTTTATGGATAAACATCTGATTAAAAACATATACTCATACCTAGAACTAGCATTTGAAAAAAATGTTTGTATAGTTCTTTTGACTGCTATGAAAGCAGAAATAATCACATACATAATGAAATTTCCCAGATGAATAAGAATTATACTTATCCACTCTAATTAAAATGTCTATACTCAATTCATGTGAAAATAATCAAATATTTCAAATGCTTAGCAAGACACAATTCAATAACATCCACAATTGTATTTGCTGCTAACACTACCTGGACAGAGGGCAGTGTTATTGCAAACCCTTGATTCTCTTAACGGGCCGCTGCAGTGTGTCCCATAAGGTGATACACAAGCTCTGGTTCGCACCTGCGACCCTTGACCACAAGTAACTGAGCATGAACTCCACTGGGACCACTCTTCCACACCAGATTCACCTGTACACAAGACAACAAATAAAAATGAATACTGCCTTGAGTAATAATATAAAACATTGTAAATAACAGCATCGTGGCATGTTAGCATAATTTAAAGGCAAAAGTATGACAATAAACACTTGAAAGGGCCCATGGAAAAATGTTTAGTGAAACAATAAATTAAAAATTGGAATGCACAGAGAACTGATGCAAGAACTGACTTTGAGTCCAACCTTGTTAGTAGTGCTTCCTTTCACAAAACACCACTGCACTATGGACACTAAAAGAAAAAGAATCAGTCAACGTTTTACATAATAGAAGACAAATTGGTTTTTATTCTCTGCCTCAAAATCTTTAAATAGATATGAAATGGTACAGGGGGAGGGGAACTAAAAGCTATTTAAACATATTATATTTTTTTAAATCAAGGAACAAATTATTTATCCATGCATTTCTTTCATGCCTTCAGTATAGACCCCATTCCTAGCTCTTGGAATGTTCAAGCCATGGGTATTTTTATCATATTAATTTGTGTTGGAGCACACTGAACAATTACTCTCATTGTTTCCAAAAAGGTCCTAGAGTAGTACTACTTTGACATTTCAAAATGAAGCTATTCATTCTATTGCAATTATTAATAAGGGAATTTTGACAACATGATGCCTTTCCCAGGGTCTAGACCATTTTAGTGACTCTGACTCAGAATGGATGAAAACTCTTCCAGTATTTGCATTTTAATGCTAAAAAATGACTTAACAATGGGCTTTTATAAAATAAGGAAGGTCTGGATCCATTTTCCCAAATCAAATAAATCACTTCTATAGCATCAATGGTTTCCAAATAATTAATGAATTTGAGTTCTAAGGAAACTTAATGTTTAAAATACTGGAGATCATTATAGTAGGCTCATAATGCTCTCAGTCTAATATTCATAGTGGATATTATAAATTTGATCTCAAAACATAAAGTTTTCTTGGCCAGATATAAATACTATTTTCCTACCATCAACAAGTTATCAAGCTTTGACATTACCATAAACATTATTTCCATTACTTGCAGTGTTTGAGGAATGACTTAAGCATGATTCTATTTTAAGTATTCCCACAGAGGTACTGATGATAATGAATTTTAAATAGAGCATAAGGAGGGGTAGTCAGGTGAATGCACATAGAATTAAATTGGACTAGTTTTTCATGGATTATTCTCTTGTCTTGTCTGTAATAAATTGTATCATATATCAGAACATATGATCTAGAGTAACATTCTCCCTTAGTTTCTTTGTCTTAACAGAATTATAACATTTAATTATGATTTTATACAAGGGCCATATTATTTGTTGATTATATTAAACTGTGAGGTCCTTGGGAATAGAAACTACCTTTTGCCATTCTTTGTATCCTACCATTTAGCACAGTGGCTGCCACACAGTAGGCACTTAATAAATATTTATCAGCTGGCTGACTAGTGCAAGTGACACTAAAACTCAAAACTTTTCTTCTTAGGTATTTCTTACCTTAAAAAAAAAACAACCTTATGCAGAATATAAATTATAAAGTGATGTTTCTCTGTTGTGGAACTGAGGAAAAAAATTTGTCAGGTACAAATTTAGGGAAGATCTTAAAAAATTCATTTTTATAACATTTTGAACCTATATGCACAGTGACATTAAGAAAAGTGGTGATTTGGTGGGTTTTAGGAAGTTATCAATTAAAAAACTAGACTAATGTGAATAATACAGGTTTTATAAAAAAAAAACTGAGATAACTCTTGTCCAAAATTAAAATTATTTTGTCTCAAATAATTGTTCTCATTTTACCCTGGCACCACAGGTCAGAAGTATTTGGTTTAATTGTACTTTCCAATGGTAACAGGTTTAGGATCTTCAAGTATATAATGTATACTGACAAATTAAACATTGTAAGAAAAGACTGATGTTTTGTGAATATTAAACAATTACATGTTAACTCAGTTCATTTTTGCAAAAAAAAGTTTCAGAGCTTGGGGATCAGTTCTGAAAAATAATGCAATTTTTTTCTTCAAATTGTTAAATGAGGTCTTAGAATGAGCAACCACTTGCCCATGGAAATTAGGATTGCCTTTCTCTTTCTCCTCATCCCAAACTTTCAAATCACTTCTGACAAACAAATGTCCCTTCATTTGAAACCTTTTCTGATGACATTTATTCATTTCAAACAGGACTTTTTTTTATTTAGACCAATGAGATGATGTCTATAAAATGGCAGCTTGCTGAAACAAATACTTTGCCAGTAGAGACACAGGCCAAATGCTTTGGCTTTCTTCTGTGCCACTAATGTCTTGACAAGCCTATGCAAAACAGCATAGCTCATTGGAAGATTGATAGAAGTGAAATTCATTACACGATTGATATGAGAAATTAAACACATTTTGTAAGGAATGTTTTAAGTGAAAAAAAAGGGCTGCATGTAATTTTTGATGTAAATTACATTTTTTAAAAGTAAGAAGAAAAAATAATCATTGTCAACATCTTTATAGCCCTTCATGAGGTACAAAGCACTTCACAGACATCTGTTTTGGTCCTCACAACACCCCTGTGAGGTAGGTAGGAAAGGCATCTATTACAATTTTATTGATAAAGAAATGGAGACTTAGAGAAGTTAGAAAGAACTACTTGAAATATTTGTCTCTTTGATGATAGAGACCCTTAGAAGCAACTTGGACATTTCAATTTGTTCATTCTATTGTGCTTATGTGCATATGTTTATATAAGCACATACATTTGTGTGTACATATATGTTATAAGAATATGTAGGTACACTATTATATTTGTATGTGTATGGAGAAAGATTCTTAAATTAATATAAATTAATATTTGCTCCAGATGGTGCAGTATGACTAGTTATATCTGAGCAAGAGAAAAAGTCTTGATTTTACAATCTAATCCCTTTGCCAGTCTTAACAATTGTTATCTATCTGCACAGAAACTGTTTGTCCATGGTCAATTAGATTATATGATACAACATCTAGATGTCTTACACTTCAATAAGTGTAGATCAGAAAGTGATATAGAATAATCAGACTCTTAACCATGGCTATTAGATAAAGGATTTATTAACAAACACTTGGAAATCTTTATGTTTTAAAGTACTGGTAAGGTTTTTAAAGCTGACAGACCAAAATAATAGGAAATATCTATCAATGCCAGTATTCCTTTTTATTATAAACTTAGAAACCTGATTTTAAATCCTGGTGTTGTCTTTCTTTTTAATTTAAATGGCATGGCTCTTTAATACTGTGGATGTGCTATTTTTTCTCAATAAAGTTAAAAAAATTTACCAGATTAACTAAAAGAAAATCCACAATATATTTTTGTGCCATAAATTAAAATTAACTTTTATAGTCAAATTGTGAAGGTGAAATGTATCATTATCATGAACTACTATTTAATATTTAAAATGATATCTGATTATTTTTTGGTGGGTAAGGGTCTAGATCTCTGATTTGTTCAGTGTAGTGAACTCCTGACAACATGAAACCTCTTCAGTAACTCAGGTCAACTACACCTCTGTAACTTCTAGTCTTACAGAGTTCCCCTGGGGAATGAGAAATTAAGGCACATTCCTATCGTCACACAGTCAATATTGTAATTTTAATCCAAGCCTTCCTCACTCCAAGATCAGCCCTCTATCCATCTGTGCTGATATGTACCCAAAAAATCAATCCATAGAACAGCAACCTCAATACTTAATCCAACTTGATCAACAATTTAATTATGGTTAAATGACTTGTGTGGTAATATATACCAGTTCCAAAAAATGGCTCAATGAATAGATTAACCATACCAGAATCAAGTCTTCTTATATGTGACATGATAGATTATCTCATTGCATCATGAAGACATGAGTTTAATAAACATTTTCAAACTGAACACTTTCTAAGGAAGTTTCTTAAACTGTGCATACAAATTTGTAATGCAAGGTTCTCTACTGCCTCCATAGATCTGTAACATCAAAGAGAAAAACATATTTTAAATATTTCTGAAAACTACAAAATCTATTCTAGCATTTCGTTTTTCTACCCTCTGTATAAAGAGTACAAAATCATATCATAACCATTTCCATTATTATTTTATATTTATAAGCTATTTTATGTTCACAAAATTATGTGAACAAAAGAAAAATATTCATGTCTCCAACCATTTTATTTTCTTAAAAGATAGGTAGAAGGGAATATGTAGTAATAAAACACTGTATAGGATGTCTAATTGTGAGGCACTTACCTGTGTAAGATCCATACTAACTCCCATAATGCCTAAAGGAATGATAATTTCAGGAAAATTTAGATGAAAAATGATTATTAAAAAATTTTCAATAGACCTGATGGATGCTTTTCACTTTATAGCTTTGCCAATGATGACTGCCTTCTTCCCTCAGAGAGGAATTTTATTCATAAAGTTAAGCTTTCAATAACTTCCAAAGCAATATGATTTTTGAATGTTACTTTTATCTAATAGTAATTCTAGTTCAAGAATATATATTCTGTTTATATTTCTTCTGTACCTTTATGCATCAATCTGTTATATCAAGTAATGAATTCTTTAACATAAAGATCATCAGCTCTAACACACAATCTTTTTTTTTCAAGCCATATGACCACAAAGCTCACTGTATTTTCAGAGATATGGATAAGAATGTGAGGAAATATATTAAAATATCCTCATGTTTCAATTTTTAAAATGCTTCATTAAGTTTATAATCCAAGAGGTACAATATATTAGATAAAGTACAGTTACTAAAAAGGAGCAATTGAATGAAAATATAGATATTAGTAAATCTTTACATTAAAAACCATGGTTATTTGGTTTTGCTTATCTGAATTCATAAAAAGTTTTAATTAAAAGTTGGTTTGTGAAGTTGTATGCACTGCTTATAAACTATAGGCTAATAAATTATGTATGTATGTATGTCTAAAGTATGCTTATGTAAATTGTTTTGCCCCAAATCAGTGTGAAAAAAATGGGCAATTGTCATATTCCAGAGCATATGAGAACTGCACACTCAGGTTTCATAAATCCAATCAAGTGATCTCATTTAAGTTGCATTTCTTCTTGCCATTTGCCTGATACAAAGAAACATTTCCAGTTAGCAGACAGATGAGGCAAGCCAGAGTCTTCCCACCTCACATCCCACCAATCAGATCATCTGTCAATGTAGGATTTCCCTTTTACTTGAATATTCTCCCCTGAAATGTCCTTGAGGTGGTGGTGAGCACTCTGTGCCTTACCCATTTCTTTAAACCCAAAGCATTGTCCAATAGATGGCCAATGGTAAAGGTTCCCAAAGCCTATTGTGAAAAATGGCAAATTTTAGTATGTCTGGACATTTACACAAGTCCAGATAGATATTTCTTAATCCACTTAGCAAAATGCAAATATATTACTTTGTATTGTTGTCAGTGCCCATAAGTTTTGGCCTGAGCAAAGCAGTTTGTAGTAATTTCTGCATTTGTAAGAAACTAAACTTAGGTCATTATTATACATTATTCTGAACATCAATCTCCCTCTTCATATTGCTGAATTTGAATTTGGTGATACTATTATCTTAAATTAAGTTCTCTAAAATGTATGCATTTACTAATTACAAAAAGCAAATTTCAGTGATATAAAATTTTTATTTTAAAATTTGTATCATTAATTTTAGTATCTGATTAAACCTTATCTAAGATATAGACAGAATGGGAATATATTTATTCTTTCAGAGATTTGTGTCATAAACAACCAAGGCATCACTTAAGAAAGGTGACCAATTTGCTTGAGACCACCTGCATCAATGGAGGAACAAACCCCTCTAGACTGCAATGGATAAAACCTTCACATAGATAAAGATGTTTTAGTTTTCAAAATAAATGTGACAATTGGATATGTTCATGACATATTTAAAAACAAAAACTTTCATCTAAGAGGTGTCAGCTGCAGAGTTACCAGATAGAATGCTAGCTCATTTATTACAATGAGCCCTAACTTAAATGTAAGATTCAGCAGCATCTCTGTGCACACACAGACACTAAATACATAGGTAAAGTCATTATTTTCTTAGTTATTTGTAAAATATATGGCATTTTAAATATATGAAAATGCTTATGAGAAAGACAGTCATTTTATTTATATTTATATTTTTAATGTTCTGAGGTACCATACTATATACAAATAGACTGTCATCTCTTAGTTATTGGGTTTCCTTGAGAAAACCTGCTTTCAACCAAGGATATTGTAACTAATATTAACATCACACCATTTATAATGAATAATGTTTGTAAAATATGAATAGTTAATTAATATTTATGCATAAAGTTAGGCAACTGAAACTAGAACTTAGAAAGAATTTGTTAATTTCTGAATGCATCTCAGTTTAAATGTTATAATATTGAAGTCTTCTAATGTTGATTTGTTATTAAGAATCTGGACTTTTCATTGGCAAGAGTTTCTTTCAAAATATTTATGATATATTTCAAGCAGTTAACCAGCATATTTAAATTGTAATGTTCCGGTCCTAATATTCCATTTACATGCTATACTTTATAAACAATGAAATCTATTCTGATAGTTAAGTAGTTCATTGTGCATATTTTTGTGTCTTCTACTCAATTTCCAGCTACTTTATTTATGGACTTTAACTGGTGACAAAAAAAATGGTTCAAAAAAAGTATCAGCTTTAAAACTGAAGAATGTGCAGCACAAGATTATGAAAACATGCAGTGTTTTTTTTAATTAAATTAACAACAGTAAATAGAAAAATGTAACTAACATATTACCAGTTTGTGCCATAAATTTAGCAGCATCAGCTTGTTCCTGAGGGACCCTTTTCTCATGAACAGATCGAGGTCGCTGACTTTTAATTGTATGATCTCCCATCATTCCAAATTCTAAAGACAGAATAAAGGTATATGAAAGCTTGTGTGTAGACATTTCTCAAAAGTTACATTACTGACTCATGCAATATGTTCCTACACATACCTAGAGACTCCTGATTAGGTTTACATTTACTTCATTTACTAGACTGATCTCCTTCAAATAGATCTAATCTCAATGCCAGCAGAACTTCAAACATGAACATATTTCAAGAAACAATAGAAACGTCCATTGTAATGGCACATAGAGTTCAAACCAGCTAAATTAATGGAGACACTGTACTATTGGGGATATTGTTTTAAAGCAAATGCATCACATAAATACAACCACACCATTAAGTATTGCTGTTCAGTGATAGAAATTTTATTATCTTACAGGGTGTTCCCTTCCCTGAACATTAATCAACCTGATGGATTTGTCAGCATCTTTCTTTGAGTATGGAACCAGTGTCACACACTGCTTTATTTACAGAGGAGAACAGTGAATTTATGGAATACTATATTATTTATAGTGGCTCTTTTCCCACAGGTATGGAGGTTCTTGATGCATTCAGAAGCTTAAGGGAAATGGAGGACAGGGTAACTTATCAATCCTTCCTAAATGATACAAACCCCATCCTATCTTCATCCCACCTCCATGCACATCTCTTCCTGGGCCAAATATAAGAAATCCTCCTCTCCTTTCAGTTTACAACTCTTCTGGGGTATAGAATCACTGAAGTCTTCTGTCACTGAATTATGTGGCTGCACAGGTTATAGGCTAAGGAATGGGGAAAATCAGTACTTATTTCAATGAAACATATCTTTTCCTTTATGGTAGGAGACAGACTGGCTACTCATCAGATTGGCCCTTCTTTTCAGTCTCCCTTTGGAGAATAACCTCATGTATATAGAACTTTCAAAAGAGGCTATGCTTTATGCTCATTTGGTTGCTAGAAACCTATTTTAGTATTTCTAATACTTCAGGCAATTTAAACAAGATTATGACAAAATCTCATAAGGGATAGGCCAGAGGAAAAGAAGTAGGAGTTATTTTGCTTGTATAAAGTTGTATGAAAAACACACTTTTATTTATGGTAAAGGGAATTGGGTTCAGCATATTATAACATAATGCAAAAGGATTCTTAAGTTAAAACTCTAGCACTGAGAATGTCAGTAATTTAGAAGAGAATTTCATAAGCCTCAGATTTACTCTTATCATCAATTCTGGATAGACTTTAAAAGAAAATACAAAACATTCCCCTCTCTAAACCATTTTTTTTCCAGAGGGTGTTTTAAAACTTACCCTTCATTCTAAACTATAACTTTTTATCACCACAAATTCGACCCACTGTGATCAGATTTTTATATGGAAGTAAAGTCCTCAGCCATATCCAGCCTTATCTGACATATCCACATTACCAGGAAAACTTTAGCTTCATTTAGAGGAAAATCTAATGAGATGATGAAATCCCTTCTCTCCCTCCCCCCACTCAGACCTAGGGCAGAAATGCTATTGACATGGTCATGTCATGATTTTGATACAGTCAAAACAATTATGGGCTTGGTGCATTCATTTTATTTCAGAGGAAGGTTTCAATTGTAAAACTCATTACAACTTTCCAATCATTATCAACACCATTTCTGTATATGGCCTAACCCAATGTTTTACTACAAGAGTAAGAACAAGACAAATGCCATTTCATGGTATTGCAATAAATTATTTATACATAGAAAAAAAACAGGGTGAGGAAAATTAAAAATCCTGAGGATTTCATTAGGCAATATGATTTTATAGATATAAATTTTTGTTTAATCTTTTTTGTATGAAAATACATTTCATGCAAAATACAAACTTGATAAGATTAATAAATGTAGAGGAATTTAAATTCAACAAGGTGTTCTGCTACATCAGTACAGACCTTTCAATTTATACCCTACAATGTGTATTTCAAAGGAGTGGTGGTTTATAAAAAAAAAAAAAAACCTGCTGTGTTAGCTTCACACTCTGTAAAATAAAAATTCTATGTCAAATTTTTAAAAAATTAGTACAAAAGAATGAAGATATCAAATAGAAAATAATTTAGTATTAATTTTGATGAATTGCAAACATCTTATATGGAAAGTCACATTTATACTACTCTTCTAAATTGTACTCAAATACGTACACATATAAAATGCACATATATTCATATATATGTAATCTTTGGACAATTTTTTTTTAAAAAACCAAAGTCTGAGTATGCATTTATAGAAAATAGCTTAGCAATTTTATTTGAAAATAGTCGTGTATAGAGGATGGTTATTCTTACATAAAAAATAAATGGGAATGATAATTACTCTAGGACTATTTCTTATCTTATTTCCATCAGTAGCCTGATTTAATGAAAGACTATTTTTCTATTTAATAACAATAAAACAAGTCATCTTTTAGGGAAAATTAGGATATATGCAAAAAACCATTATATAACATCAACAATTGTGATGATGATGATGGTGAGGCTGATAATTAACCTTAGATTTGCATCGGATTTCCCCATACAAAGTGCTTTCCAATGAATATTGCTCTAGATAGCAAGAACAAAGGAAAAAGGTAATCCTAAACTATGGGGCAATTTTGACAAAAATAAATGATTAGAGTATCCTTTGATTAAATTGTAATAATTTAAAATTTTTAATTATTAATGAATTTTTGAATTTTAAAAATAGACTACTGAATTTCTAATATCTCATTATGCATTCTTGCCTAAAACACAATATTAGAAACCTTTCCAGAAAAGTATCATATAATTCAGATATTAAGATACTGACATTAGTCACTACTGCTTATCATTGATGTACAGTTGATACACATTCACCAATGTTGAAAATCCATTATGACTTTTAATATCAGTTTTATTAGATATTTAATATATAAATAAGGACCTCTACTTTCTTTGTTACTATTTACACTTAATCAATTACCTAACAATTTTTAGTCTTTGCCTCTAAATCTCTGTAAGAAGCCTTTTCATAAGTGTATACTCCATTTTCTTGTGTTTGACTTTTTTACTTTGCATTTGTGGAAAATTACTTATTATATTGTTCAGAAAATTTATTAATAATTATACTGTTTAAATCCTATTTTAGGCATTCTGCATCCAGAATGTCACCTGATCTCAAAACTCTCCAGAGAAATATGGGAAATGACTATGAGAAATTTTGGGTTTTCCTGAAGTCCTAGATCCATCCAACACATTCTTATTTTGGGTTTAGGGTCCACCCAAGCTTGTGTTTTGGGTTCTCTTCATGTGATTTGTGTGTCTCTTGTGTGTGATAGCTTTGTCAGATGATTTGTATGTGAATTGTGCTGTGCAACTCATGTGTGTACCTTTGTAAAATGATTCATGTGTAACTGGGTCTGGAAAAGTTTGCCAAATTTTATGTGATGCAAATCTTCCAGAACCTGGAGAGACGAAGATGTGCTTCTCTGGTGCTCTCTCTCTCTCTCTCTCTCTGTCTGTCTCTCTCTGTCTGTCTCTCTCTCTCTGTCTCTCTCTCTCCACCCACCCCAAATGGCCTAATAAATTTCTTTTGAAATTTGGGGATGTGTTTTGTTGAACACCACATTATCTCTTTGTAATCCTCATTACTATTTATTTTAAGTGTGTTGTATTATTTTATTAATTAGCGTGTGACAACTTGTTTAATTTTTTCCCTATTGTTAGAATTTTGTTTGCATGTATTTTGTTTTCTTTTTCAATTTCACATAATACTGTTTTAAAAATCCTTGAACCAATTGCTTTTTTTTTAGGTAATGCTTTTAAAGTATGGTTGCAACAATGGAATTAATAGATCAAAGAGTGATCATTTATTTAATTTTTCTAAATACTATCAGATAACCCTCCAAAAAGATTCTACAGTTCACAATTCCATTAGCAGTTACTGAATGTATCTGTTTACAGCCTTGTCAGTGTTGAGTTTTATGACAAGGCCATTTAGGAAGCATCTGAGGTGGTACCTCAAAAAAAATTTTTGTCTTTTCTTTTTAAACTTGCATCTTTTTAATAATGAAGTGAGGCCAACTATTTTCCTCAAGCAATTATTAACAAATTGTGTTTTGTCTTTTCTTTTTTTGAAAACTGTCCAATCAAAAAAAACCTGTTCAATCAAATCCTTTGCTCATTTATGCATTATGGCTTGAGGCTACCACTATTACTTTTTAACAGTTCCTTATATATTTAGATGTCAAAATTTTATATAATAGTAATAATAATAGCTATGATTTACATAGCACTTTAAATAAGTTTTGCAATGTAATTTACAAATATGTATCAGTGATACTTATCATAAATATTTTTGCAGCCTATTGTCTTTTTACTTGAATTATTATTACAGAAAAAATATGATATTAATATTTCATGAACAAACCTCTTCATGAGATTTCTTGCTGCCTTTACTAGAATAACAATTTAAAAACTCACCACTTATAGAAAAACCTTCAAGCATGAATAACATTAACCACCTAACTTATAAATCAAGTAAAATTACATTATCTAAAACTGTATTTTTAAAATAAAACTTTCCTACACTCTGTTTTGTAAAGAAAAAAATATCATATTGTTCTAATATTCCAGACTTAAAAACACTATACAGTGTTTTAAGTGAACTGTGAAAAATATATTATTTTGCTTCTGTTGGTGTTCACTAAAGTGAAACATTTATGGAGGGGCAAAATAATTTAAAAGAACTTTTTTTTCCGATGTCAAGATTTCATTACAAACACAGTGGATTGCAAATGCATCTCTTGATACTATTTTTCCTTTTGTTTTTCCCCCTTGAGAATGACAGTGACATCCTTCATCAACTCCTCACTTATAATAAAACTTTGAAAGGTAACAATTATACCTTTCTAGGCAAAAAGCAAGTCAATATTTTCTTGCTTTTGCTTTTCTTAAATAGCAGATTTATGCTGAATTTTGGCTGTACTAATTGTGATATGACTAAAGAACTTTAAGATGTAATGGTCTCATATCTGGTTAGAACTGATTCATTAA